CTGCTCGGCTCCGGCCTCCGTCTGCGCCTCCACGGTAAAGGGCGCGCTGCCGGTCGGGCTGAGCGATGAGATCACCTGCGCCACCGACTGCTCCATGCCTTTCCCCGTCGTCGTCAGGGGCGGGCCGGCGGGCGTCGCGCGCTTCACGGTCGTGGCCTTTTCTGTCGTCCTGAGGATGTTCTCGCTCTCCGAGTCCGCCAAGGCAGCCGCTGATCCTTCGGGAGCCGGCGCCTCCTCCGGCGGTCCGGTGGCCGCTCGGTCGGTCGACGGAGGCGCTTCCGAAGGTGCTTCCGAAGGCGAATCGTCGCCGGGAATCGAGGAGGACGACTCTCCCGCGGGAGTCGGCCTCGAGGCCTCCTCTGCTGCGATCCGCGTTGGCGCCGCCGAGTTCTTCTGGTTGTTCTTCCTGAGCGCCAGGCGGTCCCAGGCCGACGGGAAGTCCGCGCCGGCCTCCTTGTACTTCGCCCCCGTCAGGATGCTGAGCCAGTCGTTGGAAATACGGGCTCGGTCGGCGGGGTCACCGAGGGCGCTCGCGTCACGCTTCCTGCGGCGCCCCAGCAGGAGGGGAGCCCAGTAGGGCCAGAGGGCGGTGGCGAAGGCAATCGAACTGGGCAAAGCTCCGATTGCCACCGCCTTCATGAGGTTGTCCATCTGCAGTCTGGACTTGGGCTCTGCTGCGCTAGCCGGGTCCGCCGCGACCGCTGTCGAGGTCGCTATCATCTGCTCTGTCTTTGTTACGTCCTCCTTTGTATCCTGTGTGACGTCAGTATCTTCTGTAAATCCAAATCTTTGTGAAGGTCCGCTCGTTTCAGTCCGCAAGTTGGCATAATTTGGCAAGGCCGATTCTTCGTTCTCAGCGTTGGTGTCATTGCTCGTCAGCTGAAGAAGATTAGCAAAGTTGCTCAGTTCTGCCTGCGCCTGGCTGACGACGTTGTATGCTTGCGCAGGGTTCTGGTGGCGCGCAGGCAGCCGGCTCGTGGGCGTGTCGCCTCCCGCTGAGTAGTAGAACGGGGAGCCCTGGTCGGGGAGCCGCGGGTAGTTCTGAAGGAGGCTGCTTTCGAAGGGGAGTGGCCGATTTGGAACGGCCGAGGTTTCGTAGCTTTGGTACTGATACCTGTTGCCTTGGAACGCCGGGCTGCTCGGCTGGGGGGTCCTCTGGGCTTGCGTAGGAGCCCGTTTGGGCGGGAAGAATTCGGTGAGGTTCCCGACGGGGACTTTCCTGATGATTCCTCCCGTCGTGCTGTTGTCGAAATGAAACTTGGGCTTGGTGATTTCGAAGACCTGGTTGGGCAGGAGCCCGAGGACCGAGGGATTCTGCTCGAGGAGTTGGTGGGCGGAGGTGTTGTAGAGCGGCACCACCGGCGGGATGGTCGTCGCCCGCACGAAGTCCGGCAGAAGCTGCAGAACTTCGTTGTTATTCAGGTTGATGCCGTCGGGGTTCTCGGGCCGCGACGCCCCTGGACGGGCGCCGCCGCTCGACCCCGCCTGGGGCTCGCCCTGCCCTGCGGCGCCAAGGGGCGGGATCGGGGAGCCGGGAAGCGGGATGGCAGGGGGGAGGACAGCCATGGGGGGAGCGGGGGGGAGAACCGTCTGTGGGTTCGGTGGGAACGGCCCCTGCGGCAGTGCTCCTGGCGGGCGGGGTCGGCCAGCGAGGGACGCGGCGTGACTGGGTCCTGCAAGATTCGTCGGGACGTAGCCGGCGGGGACCTCCTGCGGCCCAGCCAGAGAGGGCGCGGGAATGGCAGAGACTACGTGGAAGCTGCTGATCGCGGGGGGCGCTGGGGCCGGCTGTAGGGCGTGTAGGGGCGCTGGGGCCGGCTGCAGGGGCGCTAGGGCAGAGGGCAGGGGCGCTGGGGGCGGCGGGGGCTGGCTGCCCTCGCCGTCAGCGCCGCCGATGATGTTAATGATGAAGATGTTGACCACGTTAGTCTTCGACGTCGAGTTGACGTTGACGTTTTCCACGCCGATGGTGTTGTTGAGGAGCTTGCTCACCACGGAGCTGTCCGGGCGGGGGATGTAGCCCACGGCGGTGTTGGCGGCCGGGTTCTCCTCGTAGACCACGGTGGAGCCCAGCAGGGTGCTGAGCGCCGACTCGACCTCGCCGAGGGTCGACATGGTCGAGTTGATCACGTTGACGGTCGGCTCGTGGCCGGGGCGCTCCACCACCTGCAAGGGACGAGGCGTTATGAAGGCGGCGCTGAGAGAGAGAAAGAGAAAGAGAGAGAGAGAGAGAGAGAGAGAGAGAGAGAGAGAGAGAGAGAGAGAGAGAGAGAGAGAGAGAGAGAGAGAGAGAGAGAGAGAGAGAGAGGAGAGATGGAGGATGAGAGAGAGAGAGAGAGAGAGAGAATGTATATATATATATATATATATATATATATATATATATATATATATATATATATATATATATACACATACATATATATATATATATATATATATATATATATATATATATATATATATATATATATATATATATATATATATAAATGTGTGTGTGTATATATACGTATACATACATATATATAATTAATATATATATATATATATATATATATATATATATATATATATATATATATATATATATATATATATATATATATATATATATATATATTATATATATATATATATATATATATATATATATATATATATATATATATATATATATATATATATATATTATATATATATATATATATATATATATATATATATATATGTGTGTGTGTGTGTGTGTGTGTGTGTGTGTGTGTGTGTGTGTGTGTGTTGTGTGTGTGTGTGTGTGTGTGTGTGTGTGTGTGTGTGTGTGTGTGTGTGTGTGTGTGTGTGCAAAAAAGACACACACGCACGTGCATGTACATGTGTGTTTGCATTTATGTCTGCGTGTGTGAAAAATATCAACAATATATCAAGAAATGAACTCAATTTTTAAAGCGAAATCCAACCCCTTTAAGCTGACTTCATGACCTCTGACCCCGACGCAGCCTGACCTGAGCAATGGCCTCCTGGATGGCCACGGGGTTGTTGGCCACGGCGGCCGAGATGGCGTTGTTGACCACGTCCCTGAGGGAGGAGATGTTGCTGACGGAGGTGATGCTGGTGTTCAGGAGGAGAGCGTCCACCTGGGGAGAGGGGGAGGCTGGGAATCGGACCTGGTTCTTCCTTTCCATCATTTCATCATTTTTAGCGATTTGTGTATTTCATAATTTTATATTATGTATTTAAATATGTTTTAGACTTTATCTTATTCATAATCCATTCCTTTATCTATGTTATGTTTACATAAACATTCTGTTATTATTATTATTATTTTTAGCAGACTCCAAGTCAACATGTATCCACAATTGTTTACGATGATTATACCTGTGAGAATCAATACTACAGTAATGTTATACATGCATGTGCCTTTCTCTATTGCTCTTTGTGGGAGATCATGATACTGAGACGCTGATTAAACATGGCTTGAGTCACCGCAGCATCTCTCTCTCACCAAAGGCAGGAGGACACCGGCCAAGGCCACGCCGCCCACCGATCTAAAGTCGGGCGCCGCGCACTCACCTGCGCGTCGGGGAGATACTGGACGGAGGGCTGCGACTGCCCGCCCGTCAGGTTCTTGGTGATGACGATGTTGAAGGTGTCCACGTCGGAGCTGAGGTTCAGCTGGCTGTCGGCGACGGCAGGAGGCTGGCTGAGCGGCAGCTGGCCCGCCGCTTGGGAAGGAGCTTGAGTATCGGAGGAGGTCTGCTTCTGGAGCCTCTGGTACTGCTCGACCAGCTTCTGCAGGTGGCTCTGCTGGCCGGGCAAGTGCGGGAACAAACCCCCGGGAAGATTCGGCTCCCGCGGGATCCCTAAAACTGCCTGAGGGCCTTGCGAATACAGCAGCCGCTGCTCTTGAAGCCACTGCTGCATGAGCTCCTGTGCCTGTGGCTGCTGCTGCATCAACTGCTGCACGACCAGGTGCGAGTCCGGGCTCCGCGTGAGCTCGTTCAGGTATTCCTTCAGATAATGCGTCAGGAGCTGCCTCTGCTCGGCGTAGCGCTGCTGAACGGTCGGCTCGGGGACGACCTGTGCTACCTCGGGCGGGTACCGGGGGCTCTCGGGGGGGCCGGCCCGGTAGTTGTCGCTCGGAAAGGGCCAACGCTCCTCGGGGTCCCTCTGATGCTCTGGCCGCAGCTCGGAGGTCTCCAGTCTGCGAAGCAAGGTGGACTAAAAGTGGAGGCAGTATGAAAATGGCTTTGATAAATTTAACAGATTTATGCTGATCCATAGTCAATGAGGACGCGAGTTTTCTCCAGGATGATCTTTCAGTCTTTTACCTGGAAACGATCCGTTTCGTGAAAAGAAATATTGTGATTGCACAGAAATATAACATGAATATCAGCCCCTGCGTCTACACAACGTGCCAACTGACCAGATTGAATTATCTTTAAATCTTTTTACTTATATGCTTATATTCATTTGCTTTATACCATGCATTAATTCCTAATCATTATCATTATCTTTACCTTCCCCATACGAGTGACTATCTTTTTCATAATCACCATCATCATCACCATCCTCCTCATCCTCGTCATCCCCTCCGCCCTTCCCTCGCCCCTGCGCGCCCCTCCCCGCCCTCAGTCAGTATGATCCCTCCTGCCCCTACCTGTCCAGGTCTTCGGCGTCCCCGTGCGAGTCCCAGTAATAGTCGGTGTCTGTGACGTCTTCAGTCGAGAGGGCGTTGATCCTCTGCGTGGATTCGTCCTCCTGAAGGACTCCTGCAGAAGGATGCGGGTTGCGAGGAGAGTGTTGCGCGGAAGAGCCAGAAGTTAGTCCATTTTAGAACCCACTTTCAATGTTTGTCTTTTTTGTCTAAACATTGTGAAACAAGTATTTGTTTTCTGTCGTTGCTAGTGCAAGTCACCCAACCAAAGACATTTTTTTTTGAACAATGAAAGAGACAGAGAAACGGACAGACAAAGCGAGAGAGGGCGAAGGGGTAAATATAGTTATGCAGAGAGGGTTACAATACTAAATATATCTAAAATTATGTAGAAGTCCATCGATAGTGGTGATTATTATCATTATTAATATTATAATTAACATTATTATTATCATTATCATGAATACTATTATTATCATTATTGTTATCATTATTATCATGATTATTACTATCATTATTGTCCTTATAATTATTATCATCATCCACATTATCATTATCATTAGCATTATTATTGATATTATTATTATTATTATTATTATTATCATTATTATTATTATTATTATAATTATCATTATTATTATTACAATTATTATCATTATTATCATCACTACCACCATCACCATTACTGTTAGCATTATGATTGTTATCATTATTATCATTATCATTACCATTATTATCATTATCATTACCATTATTATCACTATCATTATCATCATTTTCATTATTTATATTCTGTTTATCATCATCATCATCATTATCATTAGGATTATCATTATATTATTATGATTATTATCATTATTTTTATTATAATTTTTATTGATGTTATTATTTTCATCGTTATTAGCATTAATATTACTACTAACACTACTACTACCCCCAATACTACTATTTGTACTGCTACATCTATATTATTGTCATTATTATCACTATTATTAATAATATTACTATCATTATTGTCGTTTCATTATCATCACTATTATCCTTATTATCTTATTATCACTATTATTATTATTTTTTTATCACTATCATTATCATTATCATTATTATTATCAATATCAGTATCATTACCATTATTATCATTTTTATCATTATCATTATTATTATTATCATTTTATGATTATGATTATGATTACGAGTATTATAATCATCATTATCATTATCTTCATTATTGTCCTTATTATTATCATCATTGTCATTATTATCATTATTGTTATTATTATCACAATCATTATTGTTTTGTTATTATTATTATTATATTATTATTATCATCGTTATCATTATTATTAATGTTGTTATTGCTTTTGTTATTATCATTATCATCATCATGATTTTTTTTATCATCATTGTTATCAATACTACTGCTACTACTACTATTATTGCTAGTACTAATGCTTATCATTATGATTATTAATATCATTATCACTATTCTATTATTATTTATATGTTGTCTCTGTAATAATCATCTGACTATACCATTATCTTATCAGTCAATATCATTATCATATTCATCATTGCAATCCTTATCACTCTCACCGTAGCGCGTCCCCGCGAGGTCCTCGGCGAGCCAGCCCCTCCGGTTCACGGCGCCCGCCTCGTGCATCGGCTGCTGCTCCGTCGGGAGGGAAGGCCTCAGGAGTCTCGGGTCCTCTGTCAGGAAAGCCTCGGCGTCGCCCTTTGCCGGTAAAGGCGTCGAGTCCTCCGGGAGAGCCTGGGGCGTGGCCTCAACGCCCTCAAACGTCGAAGCTTGGGCCGGTATCCTCAGGACTTCTACTCCTTCCTGATGCCCCTCGTGCCCTCTCTGCGATCCTGGGGCGCCTTGTGGCGGTATCCTCGGGCCCTGGGTGCCCGCGGAGGACGCCATCGCTGGCAGGGGCGACCTCCCTCTCGTGGCTTCCGCGGCATCTGCGGGGAAGGATTAAACGGCTTGGACCCGACGCCGAAGGGAGCCCGGAGGCAAGCCCTCGCATGCATAAACACACAAGCGCGCCACACAATGCGCGACGGCGTGTCACTCAAAGCCGGCGACCTTCGTGCCGCCAGAGTCCGGGCCGGAAGGGCTGGCGGCCCGGTTCCCGGCCGCCAGCCTTCCTTGCCAGACACGCCAGAGACACGACCTCCTCTGTCATGCACACTTCGCATGACCAACCGCTGCGGCCGCCGTATGACAGGAGGTCATACGGCGGCGGAAGGGGGATGCAGAGGCAGGTGCGCGCTCCTTGTTGCGTCTTTCCCTCTCTCACTCGCTCATCCATCTCTCTCTCTCTCTCTCTCTCTCTCTCTCTCTACCAACCAACCTACCTATCTCTCTCCTTCCTTCTCCTTGAATCACTCACTCCCATCTCTCTCTGTAACTCACTCACTTCTCTACTCATTTATTCCGTCCCCCTCTACCTCACTCACTCCTTTCTTCACGCCCTCACTTTTTCCTCCCCCTCTCCCCCCCTCACCTCTCGCCGCCTCCACGTCGAGCAGGAAGGCGGCCGACGCGGGCGTGAGTGCCCCCCCGGCAACCACCGCTGCCAACACCACCCACGCGCCCACGCCCATCGCGCCCTCCTCGCTGTGACAACCTGAGGAAAAGCAGGAGATTAGAAACTTATCTTTAGTATAATAAAATTAGCGCAGGAATACAATAGATTATTATCGTCATCACTATCATCACTATAATAAGCATTATCGTTATTTTATTATCATTATCATTATTAGTATCATTATCATTCTTATTGATATTATGGCTATTATCAACATTCTTCTTATGATTATACTCATCATCAATATCATCACTT